TCACAAAGTAAAAACCTTATTTACGAAAGCTAAATGGTGTCCTCAATATATTTTTAAATATCCACAAATATTTTACGATCGCACTAAATCTTGCTTTTGTGTGGTTGACGTTACCGCTGAGTTAAGTTATACTTAAGCTTCGAATTTACTAATGGTTTGTTAAATATCAGTAATGTAAGCGTCTGTTAAATTAAAAAAATAAGGTGAGACAGAACAATTTGTTTTCATTTCACTTCGACGCCGGTTGATAATCAGTAGATTAGTAGTAGATTTTTAATTACCATGTAGGAATACATAGTCGTTGATGAATATATTTGAAGGCCTTATTGAGGAAGTTTTCAATTCACATTTAATGGAAACTAAATCAATATTAAATTATTCTAGTAAGAAATACAAAGCTTTTTATATCTAAAATATTGAATACGATCTTTTAAACTTCATCCCAATCATCATTTGGGTTAGGGTGGATGGAAAAAAGATTTATTGTTGAAAGAAAAAGGAGATTCTCAGTTCCCTTAAAGAGTCATCTGTCACTGGACCTAAGAGGTTAACTATTGACAAGTATCTGAGATAGGAACACGTCATTCCCAAGTTAGTTACGTGATTGATCGTACAGAACTATAATTTATGTGTTTGAGACTTCAGAATAGCAAATTGTCAAATTTGTTTGGTGTGATGTGCTCGCGTGGATATCTACTTTTTCTTATATTTATACGTTTCAATGACTTATTTATTTATAATAAATTTGCTTATTAGAGAGGTATTTTAAAGTTTTTTCTTTGGAGCACAGGATATATGCAAATTTATATTAAATGCCATATTTAGATATGGCCATTTTCATCTAATTGTTGTATTGATATTTAATTGAAGATCCTAAAATTAATAATTTCATAGATCAGAAATTTAGTGTTGATAATAATAATTAATCTTATAAAATAAGTAAATTTTTAAACTTTAATTCTATCAGAATTAATTTTTATTACAAACAATAATGTAATCACATAAAATAAACTTATTCTGTATATTTTATTCTTATCATTTACCAGTATAAAGATCATGAATGTAGTGTTACATCCAAATTTGTCGTTATCCGATGCCGATATTCAATTTGAGTTTACAAGTTAAATCGCCTGATGCTTCGCAGCTGAGCAATGAGACAATATGTTTGCCCGACACGTTCTTCATAAATTTGATACCGAATGCAAAATGTCTCTGTGACAAAAGAATTTTTTTTCAACTAAACTATTGAACTCAATATAAACAAATATTTATTGTTATAAAAGCAACAGATAAAATCGAAAAATAAAAACTAATAGGTGTGTATTTGTATATAAATGGATTAAAGTATCAATGTGTACCTCTACTAAAAAAAATACATTCTTACGAAAATTTGTCATTTCTTATTAAAAAATGGAATACAAAAGTGAATTTAAAACAAAAAAATATTACATCTATGTCATTTGTTCTATTTACGATAGTATTCCTAATAGAGCAAGTAAAATATATTATTCTCCTGATAGATTAAATGTTCTACTAGGATTTCAACACAATATAGTGGAATAAAACTATGATGATATATATATTATAACAGTAGATAGGTAGAAGGAGGATAATGTCAAAGATAATATCAAATCAAAAGTAACAATTATATTTTTAATTAATTTAATTATGTTAATGTTTTAATATTATCTTAATTATAATAAATTTTTGCAAAACAAAAGACCAGTTTGTTGAAACTTACAATTATTATAACTTCAAATGTTATATTTTAATAAAAACATCTACGTGATGAATTCATATCGCTTAGTACAAGTAATTTTAAAATGACTATGGTGGTACATATTAAATAAAAGTTATTTCATTCCTAAAAGTCATTTTTATGCAAATCTGAAAGCTGAAACATAACGGTTAAATGTACGAAATAAAAAAGTTACATTTGTTAGGAAAACTGTGATATGTCTCTCGACATCTGTTCTATATAACGTAGTATTTAACAGTTATCTAAATACGAATGTTTTATGGCAAATACAATAAACTACAACACGAACATATATATTGTTGGAATTGTAATAATTACTATACTGGTGTATAGTTGTAAATTCACATTTGCGTTGAGCGGGTTGGAGTGGAAAATTGCCCCACTGGTACATACCTAAAGTACTAAATCTCCTATTACCACTTACTGACTCCATTACGTTACAATGATAAATTTCCCAGACATTATTATGTACATACGTCTGGCGAAATTCGCTTATCATATTTTGTGATATTATATCCACTCTTTGTTGCAGAGGGAATTTTTTTATTGGCGTGCAAATATCATTTAAATTAAAATAACTTTACCGTCAATTACCTTACTAAAACAAGAATTAATTATTATTAGATGATATAATTTCACAATTGTTGACAAAAAAAAATTATTAAATATTCAATACTAATTAAAAGTGAAACCGTATAGTGATAAACTTATAAATAAATGTAGGTAAATAATACAAATAGGATATTAATAATAGTGTAGTATTTTCAACAATAACGACTGATAGATAATGTGTCTTGGCTCCTAAATGGGATAAAGCATAGAAAAATTTGCGAAAAATTAAAAGATATTAGTCTGCCACAAAGCTTATCAAGGGTACTTTGATTACAACATGGGTACGCGATTACTTAATTACGCGCCAAGTGGACTGGCACTCTCATAAAGATAACGCTAGAACGACTGGGCTCTTCTTAATTTACGAACGAATATAACATTACACGCCCACATACCATGTTATGTAGAAGGCATAAGTGTTGTCGGGACTCGACAAAATTAAGTCGTTTTAACAAATGTTAAGGAGTAGGAATTTAGTAATGGATTCTCTTATATGTTCGAGAGTATAAAACAAGCTTTTAATCATTATTTTTAAGTATTTAACAGCTCTTGTTAAATATTAGCTTTATAGCTTGGAAACATAATACATATTATATTTGAATGTAGCAGAAGACATCCCTACTAGATTGTAATTTTTTAAGTTTAAAATCTATATTGCTTATTCTATTATCTAATCTATATTCTATTGAGAATTTATTTTTAAAAGTACAGATAAATAAGTAAAAAAATATTCTTATTTTATAAGCATTATTATATTGCCAACAAACGTATCTGAACTTATAAACGCGACGTTTATATCCTTTGACACAAAAATTTTCGCTGAGAAACAATTTGTTAAATTGAAATTTTAATGAAATCATTAGGCAAAACATAAGTCCACTAAAGAACAAGTTATTACAGCGCCTGGAAGGCATACATCATAAATTTACTGTTTCTAAAGATATTACGAGTTTAAGTAGAGAACACACGGTGGCAAAAATTATACGAAGTTAACGCTTATGTTGAAATATAAAATATTAATAAAATAATTTTAATTTGATGTAAGGTAAAGTATATATAAATTTATTAATTGTTTATCAAATAACAATATGGGTTAAATTATAGTCGAATTATTATTAATGTTCTCTTTGTTTTAGTATATGATAATAATTTTTATTAATACATTAATACCTTTTTATTAATACCTATTTATAAGTTCCTTTTAAAACGTCTTTCAATTAGGATTTTGAGAATGACACGCAAGCAGCCGTAAGTCAAAAGCTTATTATTGCATTAAAGATAATAACAGTTCTTGCAATATCGGTAATGTTATCTGTTTGAAGGCTCGAGTCAATTGATTCAATTGAATACAATTAACTATTACTTATAGCTTCAACATGTGGGAATTTTCTAAAAGATTTTGTAGGAAAACCTTTGCCATTTCGCCTTAGCATTATTATAGTTGTAAGCTTTTATTACTTGTTCCACTTTAATGTACTATAAGGCAAATGTTTATGACGCAATAACATTCTATTCTTTTACTAAATAAGTCATGTGGTCGCTTCTGCCTTTATGTAAGTTTGATTATTATATTTTTTTAATTTGTAACACATTATTGTTCTGGCTTTTCCATATTCGGCCTTGAGCAAACTCTTCATGATCTGCGATCCATTTAATGACATGTTAAAACCAACTCAAAATTAATAATGTAATGAAATAAAACATTTCAAGATAATTTTTCTATATATAAATTTATTTTCTAAATAGAAAATGTTCAATAATTTATAAATATCACCTGTAAGACAAAATTAAACACTGCATAAATAATTTTAGTTTTTCTTTCTTTTGAAGTAACTCAAATTTTTAACGGGGTCTACCAAATCACAAAGCTCACCATTTGCTTTAAATTCCACTAACGTTTGAAAGAGAAAAAGGGCAAAAGAATAACAAAACTAAATAAAAATGGACAAGGCTCATTGTTTACTTTGAAGTCAAATCAAGTAATTACTGTTATTTTGTTAAATTCGTTATTGAGTATGTGTATGTACAAGGTTGTCTGTAAAAAACTCAAATTTCTCCAGCTCTAAGAAATGACACTGAACCGAATCGTCAGTTAATCACTGTTGAAAATTTTGAGAGCAATCAGGATACAATTTCATAACAATTTTCAACTTTCTGAAAAGTTTCTTACTAATTTTCTACTTATTTCGGAAATGACGATTATAATTGTCGCTTTAGAATTTTTGTTAGCTTGTTGAATAATATTTATTAACCATAACTTTACTTTTTCATTAAAATATTATCGACAAAATTAAAGAGAATACGTAAAACCTCCATAAAACATAAGATATTGATAATAAAGTGGTTTGTGTCTGGAGTGAATTTAGTGTCAAGAATCATTCTTAACTACATTTGAAAATGTTGTGCTTGCACAAAAATACTTAAGAAATTACAATCATATCATTATAGAATTCAATTAATTTAAATATCTTAATTATAAATTATATGTATATTTTTTAAATAAATAAAAATGGGTATATTATTTGCACAAAACTTTTTTGTATTTGTCAAAGTGTTACAAATAATTTTAATTCCGTAAGTGTAACCAACATCTCTGCATGTGTAGTAGGTTATTTGTTAGTCTGCTGCACTGCCGGTCCCAAGCCCGGATAAAAGAGGAGGATTCATAGCGGGGCTAACCACCCAGCATGGGAAAACGGATATGGGTAAGAATACTTCCACAACAGAAAATACCGGAACCCTTAAAACAAGACGACCCAGGCTGAGGAAAACGGACAATCGATTTAGCATGCTATTTGGAATATGGACCGTAAAGACGATGCTGCAGGCAGGAAAGATGATGGAGGTTGGAGACGTGCTCTGCAAGTACAATTTGGACCTAATCACCCTAAAAGAAGTACGGTGGAGTGGGGCTTTTCAAATTGATAAGCAAAACTTTACGCTATACTACAGCGGTGCCACCAAACAGGGTCCGTATGGCACGGGATTTATGGTCGCATTTAAGTCGCAAACTTAAGCCGAGCATTTTAGGTTTCGAACCCATCAAGTCACAGCGTCTGAAATGGGTTAAAACGAATTCAAAATCCGCTTTCACCATAAATAACTTTATATTCGTCTAATTATCTTAAATTGTAACATTATTTTTGAATTCGAGACACATTAAAAGTTTCGAATAATAGGTTTTATGTAACTTCACGGTTATTAAGGCATACATTGAAATGAGTAAATTTCCAGAAGTACTGGTTTTAGGCATTCGTTACCTAAACAAACGAAGTTGAAAGATATATGTATATAGTTTTGCCATTTTAAGATATGAGCTTTTTAGTTGGAAAGTCTCCGTAAATACCTAATTATGTTCAGTGTGAATTGGGCTGTAAAATCGAATAGTGTGACCTTATTTAATATTACCCGGTATTGTTGCAGGATGCTATTATATGTAAGGTATGCGTTCCTAATATAATTATGCCATTAAAACCGCCAAAAATATTATTATTATTTGGTTTCTATTCTCCATTGTCAAATATATATGAAATTTGGGATTTTAATACAAACTTATGACAAATTACTCCCTTAGCTCACATTAAAAATAATTCAAATACTGAATTATAACTATGATAGTTTCTGTACTACGGGTCGTAAACTGGACTAACATGAAGTAAAATTTTATCACAAAACATAAGTTTTATGATGGTACTAAATAAAGTAATACTGATAGCAAGCTTCTTTATGAAGCAAAATACATGTAGATTATTTGAAAGAAACTAATATTTTTGGATGTGCTACGCGACTTTATTTTTGTAAAAAACTACATACTCCTGATGTTTCGGCTACTTTTCAGCAACCGTGATCACGGGCGGACAAGATAAGTAAAAGGTATTAGCTCTGATATATACACAATTACACATAAACTAAAAATTTTAATCAAAGTTCTATAAAAACTCATTTCTTACAAAAATGTTTAATAGGTGAATGTTGTAACTGTACATAGCTCCACTCTTTTCAGCAATAACCTAATGAAAGTACATGCATAAAAATAATACGTCTATTAATACTCGAAGTAGATCGAAATATCATTATCATTTGAACGGATTAATATGGTTGATAATATATGTAGATATTAACAAATTAGTTTTATTATTATTTTATCTAAAACTTTAGAAATTATAAAATAAGCGTGGTTTATTTGGTTTTAATTTCAAAAAATTTTGATTCTTGAATATTGCAAATAATGTTCTCACTCAACAAATGATTTTTCACTCCTCTGTCAACGAACATTAAACCTAATATAAATTCCACATAAAATTTATATTTAGAGATTTCTTACAATTTACTTTATTGAATGGCTTGAAGTTAATAAAGTTCAACAATCAACTTTAATAAAAGACGCCTTTTAAGAATTCATGATATAAAAATGACAATTTTATAGGCCATTCACAATTGGTATAAATATTAACTTTGCAACAAGAAGCTTAAAGTCCCAACTAGTGCTAACTCAAATAGGATATATGTTTGTTCCCCGCATCACCAATAAACGGCATTTACTATATTGTCCTATTTTTTTTATTTATTTATGTACCAAAAAGAAAAAATAGTTACAATTAAAGTATTACAAAAGAAATGTGATGTACAAAGGATAACTTATCTCTTAAAAGTGATCTCTACCAGAAACGTTTTTGATAGAGGAAATGAGAAGAGAAATGTGGAATAGGTACAATAAAATGAGTAAAGAAAAAAATAAAAAAGGTACATATGTAGATATATATAAGAATACAAACCAAATTATAATAGTATAAAATTCCGATATTATACTTACATAGATACAATATACAAATATAATAAATATTCATTAAAAGCGGACGAAGTTAAAAAAACTTAAGCAAATATCTATCCTGATGTTATTAATGGGTTATCTTAGTTATTATTGCATGTATTATAAGTTATGTAAAGGACCCATCTAATGAGTTTTACTTTTATTACGACAACTTTCTTAAAAGTTTATTAATAAGAAGTACAGAAGTATAACTTAAGCCTATATCTAAGCCGACGGGATGTGTTATGTGACGGACTTTGTCGATGTTATGTATGTATCGTGAAACTACTGGTTCTCAGGGCGATGTGGAGTACACGACATTCTATCCAAACAACTGATTTTCCTGACGTTTGATCTAGTTTGTTATAATTGTTGAATACGTATCATAGTACAAAATATTTTATAATATAGAGATAAAATATGTAGCTATTACCTTATATTAATTATCGTCTTGTATTGATTATACATACTACATTCAGGTCAAAAATGCAGTGAATAGGTGTTATAGCGGCGAACAAACCGTGTAAAGAATGGCAGTACAGTCGTGATGGAAATTCAGACAATTTAGTCCACACACCCAGTTACATACTACAGCGGAAACCTCAAATAGCAGTTACATATTTCGTTTTGGCATCCGTGCTTCAATAAATAACAATAACAATTAACCGCGGTGAATTCAATACACCCGCAGTTCAGCATCTCATTTGTTCAAACATTGGCCGCATTATTGACGCTTTTGTGAGTTTACATTTTGTTGATAGTCTATATCAATATTATTCATATTACATTCTTTATATAAATTATACTCGAATTCGCTTAGAATTTTAATCGAACAATTAAAAAAAGGATATTTTATTTAGTACCTTATTATATGTACAATTGACAATTACAGAAAGTGTCAAAATGTCACATATCCTGTGTCAATGTACATTGAGATATTTGTTCTGTTTTAATATCCTAAATAGTGTAATAAGTTTACACTCAGTTCATTGGTTTCAAAGCTCAAGCGTCAGACTTATTAATACGTTTTCCAAATTGTTTTGTCTTTCGCTTAAAGCTTTGGGTCAACTTGTTTATAAAACAAACACTCTGATTAAAGTAATGGAGTGTCGATCAATAACAATTTGGAAGTTCCAATTAAACCCCGTTTAGTAGAAATAATGATGCCAACCCCTCATGGGAACACCATTAATAATAAAATCCTAGGACATTATTTTTTTGTGACCCATTTAATATGTTTTTGTGTTAGTTTGATTACATTAAGAGCGACTGATATAATATTGTCTTTTTATATACAAATGCATTTCTAAACCTTTACCTTGGAGAACGTTTAGTGAAATTTTAGAGACTTTTTTTTAAAGTAACTTTGATTTGCAATAATTTAAGTCTTTTATATATTGGTATCCATCTAGCAAAAAAATATTATATGTACTTTAAAACAGTTTTGCCTAATGTATTAGGTTTGATTGATATTATTCTAAAAAAATATGTTTTTGCAATACAAAGAAGAGTACATTAATTTCAAATATAAAAATATGTCCTTCAATATCACAATACTTTTTACTAATGTGTAACGTCTTTATGAAATTTTGGAAAATCCTAAAGGAGTTACAAGATATGAATTATTATAATATTAAATTTTTATTCATTAACACGTTTGAGATTTAAATTTGTTATCACTTATGTAAATTAATCTTTTAAAAAATCAAAAAGTTTTTTGAAATTGATCATAACTTAATGGTCACCCTTAAAAGAAACGAAAAGTATTGAAGCGTGTGATTATATGTTTTACCCAATTTTCGATCCTTAAAACTTTTTCGTTTTTCCTGCACCGTAATTAGTCTGTCGCTCTATTTACCAATAATGGTCTTACCATTGTTTAAAATTAATTCCTTTTAAATTAAAATTATTTAATTACTTTTAAATATCTATATTCTAGAAAAAACCTTTATGTATTATTGTTCAGTTTAAAAAATTATACACTTTGGAAGTAACACTAATTGTATTGGTATGAAATCTAAAATAATTGGGGTTAGAACTTTAAAGTATAAAAGTAAATTTTCAAAATTGTTCTGCTATTTATTTTTCCTGGTACAGTGAACGATTACCCCATTAAAACGGTTATTACACTTCTATTAGTTAACTTACAGAATTAATTAAGCTATAGGTAGGACTTGAGTACCATAAGGTAAGAAATTGTTTTTGACTGAAACTGTAGCTACTATTTGACTGAGTGGCATGATAAAGTAGCTTTTAAATTAATTTCGTTCATGAATATTATATTTCGCCAGTAACATCCCTCGTAAATTGTTTTTATTTTAAATCAAATATAAGTATTACAAGGAACTCTTGAATAAGTAATATAGCTTGATACTGTGTATGTATCATTGACTTAAATTGGTGCACTTCAATTAAAAAGATGAGAAATTATAAATTAACTAATTACTACAATGTTTGACACCAAATATTATTTTAGTTATAATGTAGCAAAATTATCATGAATAAGTAAAGGATAACTACATAGAGTATAAGTGATAAGCATCTCTTTTTTCTCTTTTTCTCATTTCAATTATCGAATAATAATTAATTAATCAATAGAAGTCGCCAGAAAACCAATTTTAAAACTTCAGGTTCTGGATAAAAAACTCATTATAAACTTTCAAAGGGCTCATCTTTTGTATACATTTTTATTTTTTAGCCTCAATAGTCGGCTAGTGAAATTAAATTTCACTTCAGCCAAATTTATGTAACTCTTCAAGTATATAGTTCTAAGTTATTGAAACAGCCTTATATAAGTGTGCAAGCTAGTGAGAAATATTTTTTATCTATGGTATTTATATTTTGTGTGGTGTATGGAAATGTACATGCTTCAGGGTTACTCAACCAAAGTAGCAAATGGATGTTGCCTGCGTCCGTTAATTTAATTGAAACTCTATTGGAACGTGACTTTACTTTTCTTATTAAACATCAATTATTGACATCTCTTTTGCATAATCGCTCATTATAGTTAAAAATAAAAACAAAATTCAGTTTAAAAACTGGACAATGTTCAATGTTTGAATTAAAATCATATAACATTTTATAGTATGCAGTTTCATTTAGTATCACATCGTTAACGCTCTTTCATTACAGTTACAACGAGATGATTTCACGGTTCAGTAATATATATTATTTCATGAATTTTAATAATATATGTTCGTTAACGT